CTCTCTCTCTCTCTCTCTCTCTCTCTCTCTCTCTCTCTCTCTCTCTCTCTCTCTCTCTCTCTCTCTCTCTCTCTCTCTCTCTCTCTCCAACCAAATGAGCAGCAAACTACAATCCAGCCTTCCGGAAATCCACTATTGCAACCAACGCTGCGTGGGAACACAGCGGCGCACAGCGTAACAGCTGCCTGCACCAAAGACTATCAGACCATCAGGCGATTGCAAGCACCGCTCCTTATAAGAAGCTGCACGGGCTTTTTCTCTCATCCTTCTCTCATTCTCTCGAGTACTTGTAGAAATCAAACAAACTTCCACCAGCCGCATGATGCAAAGATCGCGCCAGTTCGGTCGATTTTGCTTCATCGACGCATACTTTCCCGTCCCGCATCTATTTCCGTAAGCGCTGACGAGAGTTACATTTATTCTGGGGAAAAAATTAAGAGAGTCACACTTACTTACATTTAGGGCGCTCCCACACTTCCTAGGCCCTCCGCTCTGCCCCCGTGGAGAAGAGTCTCTCTGAAGTTCTTCACGAGGACGGAGTTGGGTAGGACAGAGGTGATCGGGATGGAGGAAGTTGGTGGTGCATGCGATTGGCGCTGAGATTTCGGCGGGTACCGGCCACTGACCGCTAACTTCACCCGGATCAGTCGCGCTTCTTCCCTTCGATGATGAAGGCAGAATTGTTCTGTGGGGCTATTTCTCTAAAAAAGAGGTTGAGTGGGATGAGTAGACGGTTGGATATCAAGCGTCCTACTAGTGAGGGGGCTAGCTCGTAGGATGCAAATAGCGTACAGCAGCAGTGGAGATGGTGGCTCTGCTGCAGTAAGTCTTGCCGGAGTGAGGTAAAGAGGATTGATGGGGGGCCTCTCAGTTGTTTTCTGAATTTTGCCTATTCTGAAGTTTTTTAGTATTTTTCTCAGTAGATTAAATTCTTCTTAGCCCCGGGATCTTAAACGTTCAAAATTCTTTCAGAATTCTATGTCAACTTTCATATGGGACGCTGGGCCCCGTTCCCAGCACGTGCTGCTCCCCACGAATAGATTGGAGCCTTGTTCCCATTCTAGGCCCTCAAAATCGCAAAATCCCAAAATGACCGGCCAGATCTAGTCCTTCCTTTACAAGGTCTCGATCTGGCCGCTCAGAGACGAAAGCTAGGGGAGCGAATGGGATTAGACTCACACTTACTCCGAGGGGAAAAAAAACTAAGTAAACTAAGCGAGTCACACTTACTCCGAGCGAGAAAAAAAAACTAAGTAAGAACTAAGCGAGTCACACTTACTCCGAGCGAGAAAAAAAAACTAAGTAAACTAAGAGAGTCACACTTACTCCCAGCGAGCGAAAAAGAAACTAGGTAAACTAAGAGAGTCACACTTACTCCGAGCGAAAAAAAAACTAAGTACGTAAACTAAGAGAGTCACACTTACTTTCAGCGAGAGAGTCACAGTTACTCCGAGCGAGAAATAAACTAAGAGAGTCACACTTACTCCGAGCGAAAAAAATCTAAGTACCTGACTGTCATGTACGACGGATTTCACCTATTCCAAAGTCGCTACGAGTAGACACTTACTCCGAGCGAAAAAAATCGAAGTACCTGACTGTCATGTACGACGGATTTCACCTATTCCAAAGTCGCTACGAGTAGCCAGTTTCAGACGATCGCCCTTCCTTAAGTCTGCACGCCTCTGCTCTCCCTTCTCTCATCTATTCCCAACCCACAAGGACTGAAACGAGTTGCACTCATTCCAAAGAAAAAACGAAGTACCTGATGCCGGAGGGTTAAAGGGATGAAACGAGTTACACTTGAATTCAAGGAAACAACTAACTACATGAGGCTCATTTGCGAATTTTTTTCTTCTTCTTTTTTCCCCACTTATCCCGTAAACTCCCCCAAAATAGCGATTTACACTCTTTTTTTTTTTTTTCCGAAGAAAAAACAAGTACCTGAGGAGGGTAGTGGGGGATTTTCGCTTTTTACCAAAAGACTCGCCAGCTTGCCCCTCTTTATTTCAGCATTCTCTACCTTTTGTCATCTATCTCCATCAGGACTAAAGCAAGTTTCACTTATTGCAAGAAGAGACTAAGTACCCGAGGGTGAAGTGGCCATTTCGTAGACTAAGTTCGTTTGGAGAGCCACCCATGTCATTCCGTAAGTTTCACATATTCCAAGAAAAGACTAAGTACCCGCGGGTGAAGTGGCCATTTCGTAGATTAAGTTCATTTGGAGAGCGACCCATAAAAAAAAAAAAAAAAAAAAAAAGGAGAGCGACCCATNAAAAAAAAAAAAAAAAAAAAGGAGAGCGACCCATGTCATTCCATTACCACACAATCCACACAGTTATTACATGCGTTGCCGCACACTCCAATTTGCGAGCAAAAAACTTGAGAGGAAAACATCATCACTGCCATATATATATCGACAATATCAAGAAGCATTTACGCAATTCAATACCCATGACAAGATCATCATAGTTGATGTGATTCCTTTGGACCTGAGAAGTTATCCGAATCATCCTTATCGTTTCAACTCATTTCCAGAGGAGCTCTCCTCTCTTTCAAAGACGGTAATGGCCAGATCCGTAGGCGATAGAGGGACTGCTCGTCGCTCGAGTACATAATGCTACATAGACGTGTAGTATACGACGACGAAGAGTAGGTCCGACGCCACTTAACATATATATATGTACTTCAGTTTTCCAATTAAGTGTATATAATTTATATATGTAATTCCGCTCCCCGCTCTTGGTGTTTAAACTTTGAACCGCCAATAAAGCGTGCCAAATCGCCAACCAAGGGGAAACAGCCAGAAAAGCTTCAGAATCTGTTCAACGCAAGTTGTGCTGCTCTAATCCTAGTCGTTCGATTCGATTCGATCCGATCCGATCCGATCTAGCACAACTTCGACGAACCACCGATAGGCGATTCGCTGCCCCTCATGTACGCGCACGACGAGGACACAAGCGCCGCGTGCAACCCACGTAGTACGTGTAACCCACGTGTAACCCACGTGGAACACACGTGGAACCCACGTAGTACGTGTAACCCACGTGTAACCCACGCAGTACGTGCGTGCTACGCAGATTATTTTTATCCGTCCATTGGAACTGATTCTACTCTTCAATACTCATCCCCGCCTTAAACATACTTGCTCGCCACAAAACTACTGTCTCTCTCTCTCTCTCTCTCTCTCTCTCTCTCTCTCTCTCTCTCTCTCTCTCTCTCTCTCTCAAGCGGCAGTCCCTCTAGCTACATTATTAGATGTGAGAGAGTGGTGACTACAGAGTAGATCCGCTGAGAGTCTTTTCACGGTATGGTGATACCGGTGGGGTTGGTAGGGATAGAGACTGCCTTGCCCTTGGGGAACTCGACGACGGACGTTGGCGGACCGTAGAGCAGGCCTATGACGCCGCCGTCAACCCAGATGGTATTGCCAATGCCTGACGGAACCCTATTTGTATCGAAGGTGCTTTTGAGCACAAAGAGCGTTGCCTTGTCGGACACAATGATGGCTCCTCCTCTGGCGGACTTGAACTCGCACCTGTTCACGACGAAAGTGTCGTTGGCAGAGACTGCCCAGCTGCCGGCTCCGTCCAAGGCCCAGGCACCACCTCCCTCCTCCTTGCACGTATTCTTTCTGTATCTGCACCCCGTGGACGTGAACTGCGATCCTCCTGTGACGACGATGGCGCCTCCCTCATCCGGTCCCTTGTTGCGCTCGAATCTTGTCGACGTCGCCGACCCCGTCGACTTCTCCGCCAGATAGATCGCACCTCCAGCGTACCAGGCGTAGTTGTTAAGGAACCAGGAGCCCGAGACCTTCACCGTACTCCCGCCGTAGGCTGCGACGCCGGCTCCGCGCCACGACTTGCTATGGTTGAAGAAGACGTTGTCGAACTCCCCCGTCGCTCCGCCGTACAGCAGCACTGCGCCGCCGTCCGCCAGAGGGGGGAACAACTTCGCCGGCTTCGAACTCTTCAGCGGAGGCTGCCCCTTGTACAGCTCGATGTCTTTCAAGACCAGCTTGCCTGGTCCCTTCACCACGAAAATGCGATAGCTCCACTCGTCGGCGTCGATCTTCGCCTTGTTGGTGCCGACGATGGTCATGGAGTGAGAGATCTCCGGCAGGTTGCCAATCAGCTTCACCGTGCCGCTAATCTCAAGGGAGGACTGCTTGTTCTTGATGGCATTGAAAAGAGTCTCATAAGTCGTCTGGCCGGACGCGACGGACAGCAGCTGCGCTGCAACCAGGAGCATGCACGCAGAGATGACGGCCCGCCGAACGCGGCCAGCTGATGTTTGCAGATTGAGCGCCATTGTGTGCTCGCGTCGACCGCGCCTTAGGGAACTGCCACACAGGCAAGACAATCCCGGGCGCGAGAGGTCGGCTGCTCTGGGCTAGACACTCACTGCCAACGTACAAT